TGGCCGGCCAGTCCGGCCTGGACATCATCCGCATCCGCAAGCCCTTCCACACCGACAACCCCAGTGTCCAGGGCCAGTGGCACCCCCTCACCAACAAACCCTCCATCCTCACCATCCAGGGCCCACGCCTGCAGCCCAAATAAACTTTCCACCCCGTGCCTCTGGGTCCGTCTCTCCTCCTGCTGCCCCGTGCCCACAGAGAGACGCCGCTGCGTTGAGACAGAGCCGCGTTTATTGCTGGGGGGCGCGTGGGACTGTGCACAAGGCATGCCAGACACAGAGGGCGATGCCCCTCCTTTTTGGGGGGAAGAGGGGAGGGCTTGTGGGTGGCTCATCCCCAACTTGCAGCAAAAACAAGGGTGGGGGTGGGAGAGCCCAGGTATCCGGCTCTTGACTTTTCCCACTAAGCCTCACTTTTCTAGGGCAGGAGGGTCTGGACCAGAGACCCCTGGGGCTGCACCCCCCCCTACTGCTCCCCCTGCGAGGCTGAGCTCCAAGCCGTGTCCTGATCCTGGAGGTGCTGGCAAGGAATGCAGAGGGAAGGACGCACTCCCAGCAAGTCTGTCCCTTCCTGGCTTCTCTGGAGGCACCTCCCTGTCCCTGGGGCACGAGACGCTCTTACCACCCCAGTGCCTCGGGTTCCCCCAGGAGGCAGCAGGAGCAGAAATAGTTGGGGGGATTTAGGGACAATGGCTATCCCTGGAAAGTGCCGTGAAGGGCAGGAGGCCTCGGAGGGAGGCAGGCTGTGGTGCTGGGCTCCTCCTTCCTGTGCGAGGACATTCCCCTTCCCAGGGGACAGGACTGTGCCTGCACCTGAGGTCTCCAAGGGCACTACAGGGGAGGGCAGAAGCATGGTGCTGGGGGCTGCAGGGGGCACTGCGGTTGTCAGGGACGTGGGTGCCGGACTGGTCCTTGCCACGCTGCCGGGCACGGTGCTGGCTGCTGGTCTCGCCGCCTGCTGCTGCTCTTCCCCCACAGCACCCTGGGGAGAGGGGGCAGAGCCCTGTCAGGGTCGGAGGCCCCGGGGTGCCACCTCCCCAGGGCACCCAGCCCGGTATTTCACCTGGGGCCTCCTCGCAGAGGGCGCACGCTGCTCCACCAGCTGCTCCACCAGCATGTTGGTTCCTTGCCCCGGCTCTATCCCTCACCGAACCATCCTCTCCTGGAGAGGAGAAACCTGGG